CCCAGACCCCCGGGAACCGACCCTCGGAGACTTCAGTGCAGCTCCCGTGGTGGACCTTATGAGAAGGGGGCCACTGCCTAAAGCCTCAAAGGTCTACAATAACATGCGATTCGGTGCCTTCAAGGCAAGAGGAAGGACAAGGCAAAGATGAATCGATGGAGTCAAAGAGACCCTTCAAAGGAAGGCACATCACGACTGTCCAAAGAGACAACAGACCAGGCCTATGTCAGAAAATTACACCTTCACCCCACACTAATGGTATAAAAAGACAGAAAAAGTCAAAACAAAATTTTCCACGCTATTTATATCACTCAGGAGGTGGGCTTCCTATCCTGTCTACCAGGCCAACCCGGGCCGAGAGGGAATAGACATCAAGGGCAGAAAAACTGAGATCCTTGATTTAAAAAAATGCTCCCCACTCGGGAATCGAACTCGGGTCTCTTTCATGGAATCTGAATGAAGGTTAGCTATACAATCTCAAACAAGCTTGAGCTACTGTGGCCGAGTCGAAGGTCGGAGTAAGCGATTCCAAATATCTCACAGGTCGGAGTAAGCGATTCCAAATATCTCACTGGTCGGAGTAAGCGATTCCAGACATCTCACTGGTCGGAGTAAGCGATTCCAGACATCTCACTGGTCGGAGTAAGCGATTCCAGACATCTCACTGGTCGGAGTAAGCGATTCCAAACATCTAACAGGTCGGATTAAACGATACCAAATATCTCACAGGTCGGAGTAAGCGATTCCAAATATCTCACAGGTCGGAGTAAGCGATTCCGAACCTCTCACAGACCAAAGCAAGGGAACATTGGATGAAACCAGTTAAAGTAACCAAGCTCTCAACGCGAGATTAAAACTAGCAGTATAATATTGTACTATGTCAGGATGTCCCCCGGTGACATTGTGTGAGACAAAATATTAGATTTATTACCCCCAGCTGGGACGGAATCTATTGATTTTTACTTTTTAAGACGGACAGTTTTGTTCATTTATTTTTTTTCTTGTTTCTTTGTTTGTTTGTTTGTTTATTTGCTTTCTTTTTTTTTTAAACAAAATTCATCACAGCGTAGCATCGGTAGCCTAGTGGTTAGGTCACCGGACTCGTAATCGTGAGATTGCTGGTTCGGGGTTCGAGCCTCAGCTCTGTCCGACGTTGTGGCCTTGGGAAAGGCACTTTACACGAACTTCCCACTTGGCTCTGTCCTATTGGAGACGGACGTTACATTAGGAGGTCCCGTCTCTTAAATAACCTAATAGTGTCGACAGGGGCGTTAAAGCCATACCATTTATCATCTCACCATGAGCCACAAAGCCCCACCAATAACTGGGTCGACCCGCCGGCCGTACGGACACTTCTCGCGGGCTAGATCTGGCCCCGCGGGCTGTAGTTTGTCCGTGCCTTAGCGAAATGATAGTGTGTGACCTCGTTTTATGGGAGGAATATAATATACTGAATGTCAGAAGATTTGAAGGTTGTTTGGTGTCAGAAGATTGAACGTTGGATTACTCAAACATGTAATTTGGTGAGGGAGTTGCTTTGAGAGAATGACGGGGATTTACACAAACATTGTCACAAACATTTACACAAACATTGTCATGACAATATAATAGTGTTGATCATCATCATCATCATCATCATCATCATCATCATCATCATCATCATCATCAT